AAAAAAATAAATGTTATAGCTAATATTGAATAAAAGAAGAAAAAATGAGTTAAAAAACTTAGATAAAATTTAAATATAATAATGTAATGAAATAAAATAAAATAAAATAAAATAAAATAAAATAAAATAAAATAAAATAAAATAAAATAAAATAAAATAAAATAAAATAAAATAAAATAAAATAAAATAAAATAAAATAAAATAAAATAAAATAAAATAAAATAAAATAAAATAAAATTAAATTAAATTAAATTACATTTGCTTAAATAAAACGAGATTAAAAAGATTGAAATAAAATAGAATAAAATAAACACTAAAAATCTTTAGCTTATTTGGTTTGATACTAATATGATTTTTGTGTTTAGTTTCATATCCACATTATTTGATTTTATCCTTTCCAGGACACTTTGGTAGAATTTTTCATGTTATTTCTAACACGTACGTCTAACTTAGTAATTTGCTTAATCTCCTACCTCATTAAATATTTCTATTACTCGGCAGAAGTGTTCAAGCTCACCAACTAAACTTGAATAACCTCCGACAGCCGGCAATTACCATAAAACTACCGTATAAATATTTTAATGAAAACCCGTCCTTTTCGAATAAGAAAAAAGATAGTAATAATAATTTAAAATAAATTGTCTAATTTTGCTACCGGCTATATAAGATGAGCAGACTTTAAACACAAAGTTGCTGCTGCAGCGTTGAAAATCTCTGGTAATGAAATATGCTTGCAAGTAAGATTATATGTATGAAGAGTTATATGAATATGCAACTCTGTGAGGCGCAACCATCAGTCACTCATGCAACATTGAGTTGAGGTTTCCTTTAGTGATGTGTTGCTTACAGCTTCTTCCTCCTTATGTCGGCTGGCTTGATGAGGTAATGTGATTTTATGACTACATACATAGCAATTTGGGTTTCAACAGATGCACTGCTGACAGCAAAAGGCCAAGGAGTAAATAAATACAACGAAAAGAGTTCTTTCGAAGGCATATTACGAGGCATATCTAGAAAGTAGGTGTACTGCATTATTGTAGGTTTCAACATTTTTCATCTAACCAAAAAATCAAGCAATACTTTAGTGCGTATTGTGAGCTTTTTTCGACATATCCCCTATTCTTTTCTATACAGGTGGTGAAGCGGGGCACCAATTTTTTGTTGCTTTCCTCGAAGTAGTTTGCAGACCCCTTTCCTCCCATGTGCATCTTCAGTGAGGTAAAGAGATAGTAATCTGAAGGTGCTTGATCATAGGAATGAGCGGAATGGTTCAATACGGGCAAGCAATATAGCTTTATCAACACCTCATTATACAATAATTCTCAAACACTTACTCTTTGGTTATGCCTCGTTGAAGAGTTGAAAATGGCTATGTAGAGTCGAATAACCGGCAAGAGCTGGATTGTGCAAAAAATAAAAATCGGATTTCTTAATTTTCTTCGTTTACGTAATAATTTTATATTTTTCTTTTTTAGTTCTACCACATTTTCACCTAAATTGGCTTTTAGTATTGGAAGTTTTATGCATAAAAATTGGAAAACTTTTCTTTGAGTCACACCACAACCGTGACAGATGATCAAGTGTTTATTAAATTTTAAATATAAAGGTCTCCAAAGTCTGTGGAGACAATATGAGCTCGCGCCAGTGCTGACGGTGCGAAGCTCGTAACTTCTTTAATAATTCTTCCTCTAGCTCTGGTTACTGACGCGAGACTTAAGAATGCTTTCCTGGTTCGGTAAATATATAAACCTAGATGAATTTGTAATTTTTCTCATTTTATTTACCTAAATAAATAAGCAAAAACTAAAACAGGTGGCAACCTAAATCAAGAGAATTTTCTATTCTAAAAGTTTTTAATACAGACTGAAGATATTAGATAATTGAACCTTTGAAAAAGGTGGCAGCCTTAATTTCCAATCTTTTCTGTTTTTAGCATATTATTTGTCTTTAGCTTGAACCTTTCAATGAAAATTTTTTCACATATAATTTTTTGAGTAGGTGGCAACTTCGACAACTTTTTTACGTAAACAAACTTCTTTATATTTGTGGTGTGCCCTAAAGTACAAAAGTACATCGTACCTTATCTCAGCGCCAAAACCACAAAATGCTCGTTAAGTACTTATGTATGTCTATATATATCCGCTGGCTTCGCTCCGCTTCCTCCACACCGCTTTGCATACCTTGTCATAATATAATTTCGCTGCCACAAAGAAGACGCAAAACATTTTTTTCTCTGTTCTTGCTGTAAAATTTTCGCCATTTTTTCCAACATAAATTTTCCTTGAACATCGCTCATTTAACTTCTGTGTCCATTCTTGGTTTGCTGGTTGCTGGCAGTGATGGCAGTCTAAGGCATTGACTGACTAAATTCTTGCCTCATGCAACACAACATGCGAAAACAAGCAAATACATATGTTTTCTTTTTGTGCCGTCACAGTACGTGCCATGCCACACGGTTGTTTGCTACGTTGGTCTGCCTAATTGTTGTTCCTGTCTTGGTTGTTTTGGTTGGCATTGTATGTTGTGCGAATGCCACTTGCAGTTGACCTCTGCGAGTTTGGCAATTTTCATTGATGCTTAGTCACTTATGTACATACTTAGTTATTCTCCTCTTATTTTATGGTTTACTAAGGCAACAACAACAGTAACTTCGTCGGCTCTAGTGTTTCTCCCCAGCATTCTTTGTAAACGAAATTGCCCAGCTTCCTAATGTTCGCAGAAGCCCCGAGGTAAGCTTTTGAAAAGAAAGAAGTCAAGATTTTGGTAGCATGAAAGAGTCTCCCAATCCGAACACAATCTGACGTCGCTCTGTATTGTTCATGACTTTGGACGCACGAATAAGAAAACTTTATTAATTGATTTGGACTTAATTTGAGAAACGGACTATTATCAATTTTCTAAACGACAAAGCAGTTTGATCTAAATGTACAAATACGACGTTTTTGATGCTCCATTAAAATTCATATTGGTTCCCGTGAGTTAACCTTGGAAATCTGTTAGAAAAATTTACCGGGTTCCCCAAAAGGAGAGTTTTTGAATCTGCCGTCGTGCGAGCGGAAGCTTTATTTCTTTCTTCGAAGACCTTGGTATTTACTCTGAATTGATCATTTAGATTTGCTAATGGATAGTGGGACACTCTAGAGTGATCAACCGCCGTAATCTTATGGATCTAAGGAGCCCCTGACGAATGAGAAAGTCCATATCTGAGAGCATTTTTCAGTCCCTTCCATTTTTAACTGAAGTCGGAATTTCCCAGCTGAAGTAAAAATACCAGAATCCATCTGAAGTTTATTACTGCTGGCAACTCTGCTGGCATAACGGCAATAGAGACGGCATCATGGTATGTCAGAGCAGACCGAGAAGGCCGCAGTTGAAGCCAAGGCAGTCGGCCGTTTGAAGCTTTCTTAAGCCAACTATTTGCCATCAGATAGGCGCGCTCCCTCCCTGAAGTTGTTGTTGTTTCACTGTCGTTGTGCGGCCAAAAGAATTTCTATTCTCTATTTATTCCTTACAACAACCAAAATTACCAATTGCATATTGTTGTTGCGTTATTTACTGATTTACGACTGCTGATAGGGTTGTAGTTGTTGCCGCTGTCGTTGTTTGTTGGAAGTTGTAGCGCTGCAGCAATAAATTATGAGCGCTACGTTAATTAGGCAGCGATTGTTCGGTGGGGCGGGGCGCCAAATAAAAGGAGTGCTTGATAGCGAAGAAGGCGGCGAAGGCGGCGAATGCAAAGGTGAAGGTGGAAAAGCAATATTTATGCCCATCTCATAGATCGTCATAAATCTTGTGGGGCATACCTGCGGCATCCTCTTCTACAGACACAAATGACCACAAAGTATAACTGTCAACGAAATGCTAGAAATTGTCGTTAATGCTTTTGCTGTTTTATTTTATTTTTCACTTCTCTCAAAGCAGAATGCCATAGAATGCCATTGAAATAAATTTCCTTGTCACTGATCGCCGCCGACACTTTGACATATTTATGAACTTTAGTTGTGGTTGCTGTTGTTGTGACTGAATTTAAATTGCTTGCGCTGCGACTCGCCGAGGTTCGTGTCACATTCGAATTAATGCTGAAACGTGCAGATCTTACTTGGTCTAAATTCAAATGCGAGGCCAACGCCCCTGGAATGATAACTAACTAGTTAACTGAGTCAGCGAGTAAATAAGTGTGTGTATGAGCGAGTAGAGATGAGTGAGAATTTCTGTTGATCAGCTGTTGGCGGTACACTACTCAGTCGTTCAAGTCACGATCTGGCTCGCCCTCAATTCTCGCTGCCGATTGTCGGTCGGTAGGTCGAAAATAAAGCAGATGATAGCGGCCTTATAAATGAGTGGCAGCGGCCGACTCACCTACTTATATATGCTCAGCAGGCGTAGCTGCAGCAGTTGCGTGGCCTTTGACGTCTTCAGCGATTATGAAGCAACAGCAACTGCCGCAGCGACATTGGCGAGATGCTGTGCATGCGCGCCGCTAATTCAAGAACATCAAAAGTGCACTCTTTTGCGGCAGCGTGCATTTTTAAGGGTCAAGAGGCCTAGTTGACCTAGTTGTAAATCAATTTTCCTGCTTGAGTAGCCACAGCTACTGTTCAGATAATTATGGTTGAGCTGGTGACACAAAAAGTTGTTGGCTTTTTGTTGTTTGATTTGCTCCACTTCTATTTTAATCTAAATTGTTTTATTTATGACTGCGATATTTTACTCTAATTTAAGTAAATTTAATTTTGTTTTAATTTATTTTATTTGTTTCTTTTATTTATTTTACTTTCATTATAATTCATTTATTTCAGATTTTGATCAGAAAGTTGGAATCAATTATATTTCATTCTTTGAGTAAAAAGTAATTGTTGTGGTGAGATTACAGTTTATTTATTAAGTTCTTTTTATTTTACATCATTACAACTACATACATATAATATATAGGTATTATTTAAAAATTTATAAAATGTCTTTTAATCTATATATATATATATTTTTTATTCTTACTTGCTTTAACTTAAAAATAAATAATTTTTTTTTGATATAAAGTTATTGATTGAGTATCACTAAACTTAATAGAAATTTTTTTAACCGTTTCGTTGCAGAATTTATAGGTAATCTATGTATTTATAAGAGCATAATCTTAGCACTTAAAATGATTTCAAATCGTGATTGAAGAAGCTTTTAATAGAGCACTACAGTAAAAGCCTGAATCTATGAGAAATCTTGAGAAAAATTCCAAAAAAAGTGATCTTTTCTATTTCAAATTATTATTTTTGTTTTTATGCTCAGTCGCCTTCAATTAAGTTCCTGCACTTCACCGCTGCACTGGTAGTCGAAGCAATGTAAATTTTGTCACTTAACAAGACAAGTCAGCATAGTTGGATTTTGGTTTGGAGAGTTTGCGGACGCTTAAACGGTTTTTTATGATTTCCAGTTATAATTGTGGTTTCGTTTGAAAACAACATCTATTTAATTTTTAGCTTAACCTTACAGTTCTATATTAATATAATATCGACTTACATTATTTAAACAATATTCATTACGAGTACCCGCCCTAGTACCCCTCCTACATGTTACCCTGTGCATGCTGTGCATGCTGAGCCTGCAAGGCACGCGGAATTGTGCGCTTCACCGACGCTGAATGTTCGGTGCCCACCGATGTGGGGGATGAGGCGCGTGAGGATTGCAGTTGCTGCATTTTAATATTGCTGCGTATATAACGTTGACGACGCGCCTCCCGGAAGACGACAAAAATGAAAATGCCCAAAACTAATACGCACAGAGAGACGGTGATGATAATGCTGCCGGCATTTGAGGAGATTTGTTCCAAAGTTGAGGTGAAACCTGAATAAGACATGAAAAACAACAAAAAAAAAATTGACTAAATATTGTAATTCAATAATAAAATTAAAAAATGAAAAAAAAGTTTAATAAAATAAACGCTAGAAATTTAAAATGGTTATATAAAATATTTTTCGTTTTGCTTTATTCTACACACCTCTTCCCGCCGCAGCTGTGTTGCGCAAGTGATATCTCTGCTCCACCGCTAGGGTACCGCTTCTATTCGTCTCATCAGCCAATGCATTCGCCGTTGCCTGCTCACGCACTAATTTCGCATACTTCGCCGCGCGTGCTGCTGTCACCGGCACTGTAGACACTGCATCAACCTCCTCTCGCGTCTCTTCGTCGATTTCCTGCAATTTCAACACCTCGTTCTCATGTCGGATATCCTGCTCATTCACACCGGGCAAAATGTCTTCCAATAGCGCAACACTATTCGGCACTTCGTTGGACTCGTCGTTTAATAACGGGTTAATGCCACTGTTTTCACTTTTGCTCGATCCATTTTGATTAACTGCGTCGGTTACCTCTTCGACGAGCGCAATGCTTTCGTCCGATGACAAGGCTTGTGTGTGCGCTGCCGGCGGTGCTGGTTCGAGTGGTGCAGTGTGTTCCTTTAACACCAGCGCACTTTTATCGACGAAACGCATGTAGCGTTGCTCACGTCCTAGGCGGTCGTCGGGTTCGAAGGGATCATTTTCCACGGCTGCAGCTACGCCATCACTACCGGGCACCGTAAAACTGGCGCGCACGGTTTGCATGCCAGACTGAAAACTGCAAACCACGACGAATCTGTGTGGAGAGGGGGAAGTGAAAGGACTTTATTCGTTGACTTGAACATTAATTTCTTTATTTACCCATTAAATTTAATTTGGTTTAATATATTTTAATTTAATTTAATATTTTTTATTTTATTTTATTTTTAATTTTTTAAATTAAATTAATACTTAAAGTTTATACTTTACTTCCTCGCCCTTACACCCGTACTCACCTCCTCGTACTGTGCGTATAAATGCCCAATTTTTCCTGTACCGTTATAAACGTTTCTACCGTATTCGTTTCGGGCTTCACCAAGCTGCCGCACATTTTGTGATTAATCCGCATCGTATACCGATCGATGGGATCGTTCTGATCGCCCTTTATACCACAGCTGCCGCCGTCAACAACAATCTTTCCGCCAAAGTATGGACCTGTCTCCACTTCAATCTCTGAGGCTTGTGGCAAGCATTTGGTGGCTTGTGCAGCAACTGACCAAAAGAAAAAATATAAATAAAAAAGCAACCAAAATATTTTTCTTTACTCCAGCAAATCTCTATAATTTCCCACTACATCTACGCTCTTAAATTAGCTAATCAATGCTTACATCCTTTCGTTGGTATAATGATAGTTTGGCCGCCATCAAGCGGCACGCCCTTCAACGTCACAGCAGCGTCGTCAACGATTTCGTTGCCGAAAACTTCAGAACGACCGGTGATTTTCATATTTCTACGTTTCGCTTGCGGCCGGATATGGAAGCTGTATTTGGTGGCCATGCGAAGATTGTCGATTTGCACCGAGTAGTGACGTACCTGACGACTGTTTACAGAGAAATATGGAAATATTTGATAGATGATTATCAGAATATTGTTGTTGTAAAACACGATAAGTATGAGCTGGTTAGCTGAAGAGTCACGCGCCAAGAGTCAAGCGTACTCCAAAAAAATTGGTGCTTTGCCCCGCGCCGCTCTTCATCACAGTGACCCAGTTGATATTAATGCAGTTAACACTTACCTGTTTTTCGCCTGCTCAGCTGGCGCATCATTATCATGGTTGTTGCTGTCGCTGATACCGTTTGGTTCCACCTGTTGAGTTTGATTCACCAATTTGGAGCGGCAGCGATGTGGTCCAAATGATTGCAATTCACAAAAGAAAATCTGAAAGGCTTTCGGCGGTTCCACTTCGGCGCTGCTGTTGGTGATAGCATCAACAACGCTTGTTGTCGCTGTTGGCGCTGTCCCATCATCAGTAGAGGGCACAAATTCCACTTCCCAGGTTAGATTAACGGATTTGTAATTCGGCTCGCCCGAAACACTGCGGATCTCTGTAATTACAGCAGCAGATAAAAGATAACTGGTTATTACTATATATCGTTACCTAGTTAACTTCTAGAGTGTTAAAGTAATAAGAGATAAGAATAATTCGTAAAATGAGGCTTCGATGAAATATGAATTATAACAACCAACTGCGCTCCACTTAGAAACGAGCTAAGCCTTCGTAGTTTTATACCGATAGGTGGGAGATATCGTAGTGGCACATCACCTACAGATCCTCGAAGCTTCATTGAAAGATAAGTGCGAGGGCGGCAGCAGTTTGAGTGTTGGAAATAGTAGGGAAGGAGAACATTTTGCAATGAGAGGAACGATACCCAGATTGTCTGATGTGATGTGACTCGCGTAAGAATTTTTGTCAAAGTAGCAACATTTTATTTAAACCAAGGAAAAGCCAAAACAGATCTATGGTTCGGGCACCTTGCCCAATATCCCTCCGGTTAAGGGAAACAACCTGACTAGATACCCGCATTTCGTATTCGGAGAGGTAAAAAACATGGTTCTTCTCTTTCTTTATTGACATGAGCAAGCGCATCCACTACAATATTCCACATTAAAAAACACTGGGCCATTACATCCATGCCCCTCGACAGCAGCACAAAATTCTTATTGTCACTGGAGCAGCAACAGTGCGAAAACGGTCACAGGCGGTGACATCAATTTTAACGAGCTCCACTACTTTTCACATACTCCACGCCAGCAAACTCCTGAGGGAGTAATTAAAATGTTAGAATTGCTAAGCAACCGAAACATTGAAGTAACCACAGAACTAACTCACATGGTTGGCCATCGCATAACCCAAAAGCTCACTCAGTAAAGCAAAATTTGCACATTGCCCCACAGCCCGTGGCAAGTAACAGCCCACGGAGTCAAGCAGAGATGTGACTTTGCCACACTGTTGGGAATACGAATACGTGCATTGTATGTATGTGTGAATGTAGGTATTTGAGTGTCTGAATGCACTTCTTGAATAACAAACAAGAACAGCAACAACAAAAACAGCTGCAAGTTAGCAGACAGTGAAGAAGAAAGACAGTAAGCATCCGTTTACGAGTTGCAACTGCCAGAACCTGAGCTTGACTTTGCGGCTACACGATATCATTCTAAACAGAATGCTCACGACGCACATGCACCAACGTTCTATGCAGAGAAGTTGGTGTAGGAGGTGGCGGAGATGTCGTTGAGAGCCAAGGAAAGTTTACCATAACTGGCACACCTACCTACATTCAAGCTAAAATCGATGCTACGGCTCAGCTCTGCTCGGTAGGGGAGGGATGCTGAATGCTGCGGACACAGTTGCCACAGCGGCCACAGATGCTCAGGAATGATTCTTGATTTCAGTTACTTTCGCATGCAACAAATTACGACAAGAGTGACAACTTCTACTTTGTTATTGTTGTTGTAAAAAAAGAAAGAAGTGGAAGTCTTTGTATGTATGTATGAATGCATGAATGCGCTCTTTTTTTTATAAATGCAAACGAATATCGAGCGTAGAGGGAAATGGTCCGCCACTTTAGACTTGTGTCTTTGGAAAATTGTTTGAAAATCGTCAATATTTAAGAACTTATAATTAATTAAATAAATATTTATTTGAATTTTTGTTATTGTTAATTAAGTTTATATTTCTGATTTTATTAATCAGAATTGTTTGTTATTAATTGATTAAATATTTAACTTATTCCATTAGTCAGATTTCAGATTCATCAAAAAATATTTTGAATTGTATGATATCAATTGGGAAGCCAGAAAAGTTGAGAAGAGCGGTGAATTGATAATAGATCTGTTCCATAGGTAAGTAAGGAAATGTCCAAATTTGCATCGCATTTTACGGGTTGTTTGCCTTACCGAACGCGGTTCAGTAAAACTTGGGAACAATTGTTACCGCCCATCAGTTCCCCAAATAGGACTAATAAAAACGGATTTGCGATCAGAAGATATTTTGACCTATGGTTCGAGAACTGCTAAGACTTTCGAATAATCGTATGTTTGAGGTCGCTCCATTTCCACTCGAGCAGTAGTATTTCGGCTCAATAGTATAGATCGAGTTTGCTCCAGTCTTAGTTTAGTAACAGTGGGGCAGACAAAAGAATAAATTGGGGTCTTTGGAAAGATTTAGGGTCTTAGACTATGGGAGAGCAGCTACGAGTGAAGCTTACGTAACTTTCTATTTTCTAAGAGCCAAAAGCTTCGATGCCGGCCGATTCCTTCAAGACGACAATTACAGCCTCATATAAAATCAAAATGAAATTGTGGAGATTATTGACAACTTTATTTTGATGCCTCAATCCATTGTTGTCTAATAAAATCAATTCATTTGTGAATTCCAAACAATCGAATGGAGTTTATTAGCAAGCGATGCATACATAGTAGCCGATAGTTATTAGCGGCACGACCACTGGATCTTGCTCAAAGTGTAACGAATTGACAAATTGCTTACCGCAACCGAAAAGAAAGAAATACAGTGGCTACAAGAAGTAGTGGTTCAAGCCCGAGAAAGCGCACCGTCGACAAGAGTCAAACAACTTTAGCGTGCAACGCATCAGATGGCGGCTGGCGAGTAGCAGATGTTTTTCAGTTAGCTGGCGCAGCGCTATCAGACGTCAGCCTCAACCGCGGTCAGTAAACGCATTGACAACAAATCAAATAAACGTCAAAGAGCCAAGCAAGGAAACCAACAACTTGCGATTGAGCGAGTGTTCGTGCTACATGAACCGACATGACTATTTGTAGACAAGTTAAACCCCCAAACGCGCCACTCAATTCTCCACAATCCAACAGTCATCAGCCAGTCTGTCAGTCAGCGAAGTGACCAGCCGAGAGAATCCGATGCGAAAAAGTGAAAACCATTTTTATTTCTACTCCTTGGCAATGTCATTTAATGGTGCCACTGCTAATGGTTATTGGTGGCCTTGTTGTTGCAGCAGCTGTTATTCCCTCAGATGTAAAGTCAATCACGCTGCTAGTTATTCTAAGCGCAATAAGCACAAACTCGTTCCCAACACTCAAAACTCTATTGCCGGCATTGGATACAGGCAAACGAGCAAACAAGCAGATGCGAACGAGTGTATTAACCTAAATTTAGTGATTTGCTGGATTGGAGTAATGGAGACCCAAAATGTAAAATAAAATAAAATAAAATAAAATAAAATAAAATAAAATAAAATAAAATAAAATAAAATAAAATAAAATAAAATAAAATAAAATAAAATAAAATAAAATAAAATAAAATAAAATAAAATAAAATAAAATAAAATAAAATAAAATAAAATAAAATAAAATAAAATAAAATAAAATAAAATAAAATAAAATAAAATAAAATAAAATAAAATAAAATAAAATAAAATAAAATAAAATAAAATAAAATAAAATAAAATAAAATAAAATAAAATAAAATAAAATAAAATAAAATAAAATAAAATAAAATAAAATAAAATAAAATAAAATAAAATAAAATAAAATAAAATAAAATAAAATAAAATAAAATAAAATAAAATAAAATAAAATAAAATAAAATAAAATAAAATAAAATAAAATAAAATAAAATAAAATAAAATAAAATAAAATAAAATAAAATAAAATAAAATAAAATAAAATAAAATAAAATAAAATAAAATAAAATAAAATAAAATAAAATAAAATAAAATAAAATAAAATAAAATAAAATAAAATAAAATAAAATAAAATAAAATAAAATAAAATAAAATAAAATAAAATAAAATAAAATAAAATAAAATAAAATAAAATAAAATAAAATAAAATAAAATAAAATAAAATAAAATAAAATAAAATAAAATAAAATAAAATAAAATAAAATAAAATAAAATAAAATAAAATAAAATTAAATTAAATAAATCAATGTAAATAAAGTAGGATAAAAAATAGTGAAACAAAAAGTGAATAAATTTTATAAATGACACAAAATATTTATAAAGACCCCCATAAAATTACATTAAATTTCGCCAGAATAGCAGCTGTGGCGTGTATAAAAAAGTACGTCATTTCAGTGCGCCATGTTGCAAGCAGCAGCACTGAAATCAGCATAAATGTTTGACGCACGCTTTTGACACTTGAACCCACCGACTGGCGCTTGACATTTAACATTGTGTAGGCAAATTATGTATATCAGATAATTCAAATGTTCCGTTGAAATTATTTGTTGTTATAATTTTATTTTTTGTATTGTTGCTACTGCTGCGAGTCATTTGATTAACCCACTGCCAATTTGGGGAGCATTTTAATTGGGAGAATTCCAGAATGATTGCACTACTTTCTGTTTATGTGGTTCGCTAAAAATTTTATGGCAAAAGCCAAGTGGGGCCACTACTGACCAAGCCACCACTGCCAACTGACGTTGCTCACCACAGCAGTACTCACAAACTTGTTCGCTGGTACATATTTACTGTTCTTGCTCTTTTTTCTCTAGTTCAATTGGTTTGAAGGTCAACTGTGTCATAAACCGGTGTACGCGCTGACTACACTTGAATTCACTTTGAAAATATTTTTACTTTCTTTCCGCAAATTAAATTTTCAATTAAAAAAAGGAATGAGCTCAGTGTGGCCTTAAAGGCCATAAAGTGAGTTAATGAGATGCCAGGGCATGTCGTTGCTTCTATAATGAGTTGAATCTAGTACTGCGCGGCCTTTATAAATTTTCCTTTTAACTCCATGAAGTGATTGCAAGGAGTTTTTGGTATTTCATTTCTAGGCGCGAATAGTTTCTTTGCTAGCTTTCCTCTTAAAGATGAAGAAAAGTTATTTGAGAAATTCCTAAGCTATAAAAGCTCCCTTGTATATTGTTATAAGCAGTCCAAGTCAAATGTTTCGGGCTGACAATTAAAAAGCAATAAACAAACAGAAATAACTTACAATTTATAAATTTATTTATTTTACATTTGTAATCCTCAGAAATTCGAATTTACCCAAGAACTGCCCAGAATGATTTCACGCTAATGCCACAGCAGTTCTGAGCATTTTTTCATTAGATATGATATAA